GCTGTAGATACCTTTTATTTGACCACTCTAAAATTACGCAAATCGCAATCTTTCATGGAGGAAACCCCTTTTCCTCAGGCTCAGCACAACACCTTCATGGATCACGCCAAATAACAGTTACAGGCAAAATATATAATATATTACAACACTGTGTTTTGGGACCGTTTCTCCCAAAGGATCAGCTAGCCACTTAGAAATAAACACAGATCATGGGATCTTTCTGCTGTTTCTCCCACCCCCATTATAAGGTCATGTAACAAATGGCATGGCTGAAACAGGGTTTGAATCCAGACCTAAGTTCTAATCAGGTACTACACTGAAGTAGCTCTCCCTAGGGCTTCTAAATCTCTCCAGAGATTTGTGAATATAGGTGTACAGATTTGCGGTTGGTGGAGGATAACTCCCAGAATCCCTCAACTAGATTTTAAAAAGAGCTGTAATAAAGACAAACTTGCAACAACAAACAGGAATAATCAAGGATGTATGCAAAAGATATTGTACAGAAGAAAGTGTTTGCTTCTCTCCTTTAATAAGTCCCCGAATCCTGCACAGGATTTAGGATCACACGGAAGCAATATGCCGGAAAGCAGTGCAAAACAACTGAAAGCTAAATACAAAAGGACGTGTCGTCTGTTGAACGAAGTCGACAAAATTTAATTTTTAAAAATATATATGTAGTAGACTAACTTCTTCATTATCTCTATGCCTTGGTCACAACTGGCCAGAATACCAGGCAGCAGAGACACACCTTGTGTGCAGGACACAATGGGTGCGCTGCTCCACAACTCCTTTTTCCAAAGAAAAAGAAAGGGAGACCTTACCTTTAGAAAACTATACGTTTAAATGAAAATTGCAAATTCAGAGGGAAGCCAGCTCTCCTGTGCCCTTTCCCTCACCAGAACTCTGCACGTTAAGTGGGCACTCTTGCAGCCTGGAAGCCTTGCCCTGCTCAGGCACCTCCTCCTCACTGGTAAGAGAGAAAAACCTCAAAAGGGTGGGTGTGGAGCTAAAGCAAAAGTGACTGTATTAAGACAGCGAACCAGCGTGTTCGGTATTACATCCCAACCTTAAACCTTAAGGGTGGAGATCTGTCCCCAATTTCAACCACAGGAACCCCAGAACAACATGTTTTTTACACACACACACACACACACACACACACACACACACACACACACACACACACACACACACACACACACACACACACCCACACACACACACACACCAGAAGAATCTGAAGTTAAGAATGACCTTTTCTTTTGTAGAGGGAGCTTGGTAAGGCATGCAATCCCCAATTTCAACCACAGGAACCCCAGAACAACATGTTTTTTACACACACACACACACACACACACACACACACACACACACACACACACACACACACACACACACACACACACACACCCACACACACACACACACCAGAAGAATCTGAAGTTAAGAATGACCTTTTCTTTTGTAGAGGGAGCTTGGTAAGGCATGCAACCTGTGCTCTACAATCTGAAGTTAAGAATGCCCTTTTCTCTTGTAGAGGGAGCTTGGTAAGGCATGCAACCTGTGCTCTTCAGCAGAGCAATTCGCAAAATCATCATCATCATCATCATCAAACAGCCTTTACCGTACAGCAACACTGCCTTCTTGGCCTCATTACAGTTGCTCCTTCATGGCCACAGCAGCCCCCTCCCTGCTGTGCTAGGTGCTGCACACACACACACAAAAATGCAGAAGTGGCCTCTGCATTGTGTGCACAGCAGCCTCCTCCCTGCCGTGCTAGGTGCTGCACACACACACACACACACAAATGCAGAAGTGGCCTCTGCATTGTGTGCATCAGAGGTGCTCAGCTATGCACCCTGTGGCTTGATGCTGCAGGCTGGCCTCGTCACGGCCAAGCCCTGCGCTATATTAAATGCAAACTCTCCTCTGTGGTTTGCTAGTACACACTTGGAAAAGGCATCCTCCCTGCCGTGCTAGGTGCTGCACACACACACACACACACAAATGCAGAAGTGGCCTCTGCATTGTGTGCATCAGAGGTGCTCAGCTATGCACCCTGTGGCTTGATGCTGCAGGCTGGCCTCGTCACGGCCAAGCCCTGCGCTATATTAAATGCAAACTCTCCTCTGTGGTTTGCTAGTACACACTTGGAAAAGGCAGCTGCCCGAGGAGGAGGGTGGGGACCACGAATTTTGACCAAGCTGCAAAAATCTGAGAAAAGAAGAAAACTGACTATCACTGATTGGTAGCTATCCCGGCGAGAGGATGGGAAAGGAGAGGGTGGCATGGGAAACTCCTGAAGGGCACATTTCCCAGGGTCCCCTGAAAGCTGGCACCAGCCCTGACTGATCCACTGGATGACACGAAACCCTTCAGGTTTGTCAAAATGGGCAACACGGAGTTAGTTACACAATGCTTTTGTCTATTCTTCACATACTGCCTCCCAGTTCCCACGCAAACTGGAACATGTGATACTTCTTTGTACGGCTCCAGGAAGGACAACATGGGCCAGGAATTAACAAGGGGAAAAAAGAAGAAGGAAGGATTGTCCAAAGCAGGCTAGGATGTCTTTAAAAGCGCAAATAGTAAATCTGAATTACACACACACACACACACACACACACACACACACACACACACACACACGGACCCCACCCCTAAAATAAGTTCAGCACCCTGGGTGCCTCCTGAAAAGTTCATATCGAAGTCCGGAGCAGACTTCTCGGCCCTGAATCATGGGACCCATAACCCCAAGTTGGGCTTCACAGAACTCAAAAAAAGCAAGGTTGCTGTTTGAAAATCACGAGGTTGTCTTCTCACTGAGAACTGAACAATAATGCATTTACCATTTTATTTTGCCCCCTAGCTTTTTAAGGGGGCGACAGAAGCAAAACCAGAGTATTTTCCTTGGGTTTATATATACTCTCAGTAGTGGCTGCCTATTCAGGTACCAATTCTGCATCAAGAGGTGTCCCCAGTTACGGAGTGCGCTATGCAAATCCAGGAAATGGGTGCTCATCTCTCCCCCATTTGCATAGCGACTTTCTTCTTCTGCTAGTGATACTAAAGAGGAAGGAGCTCAGGAGGGCCCTTTGACTACAGGAAAACCCGTCACTTCCTTCCATTAGCTTTCTGACACTTCACTAAGCAGTAACCTTACACTTTCACTCCCTTAAGGACTAGAAACCTACTCTCTTTCTAAATGAAAGGTTATCCATTTCTCAGTAGGTTCCGTCTTTTTCCATAATAAATGACAGACGTGATTACAGAACTGAAAAAAGAAAAAAAAACACTGACTTGTCAGGTTGCCAACCTGCCAGTAACAACAAGGCCAGGTCAAAGAAAGCAATCTTGACACATTTTATTTAATTTCTTTTATCCCTAACTCTGCTTTTCAAACAAAAGGGTTCGCAAGGCAGGCAGACCCATGGAGAGGAAGCCCTAGGAGGCAATTCTTCTGGATGAGGACGTCCTTGCAACCCAATTAATTTTCAGCTTCATACCTGCTCCTTTTCTACTCTCTCCCAGTCCTTGAAGAATTAAAATTAATGCATTCAACACTACAGGTCATGAATGAAGCATCGTTCCCGATTCCAGAGTGCTGGCAATGTGAGGCACAACCATCTCCATTAGAGATGGGCACAAACCGGCAGTTTGTTTCAGTTCGGAAGGTGGCTGAACGGGTGTTCAGTGTCCTACCCTCTCTGGCGGGCGCCCACTCAAAAGCAACAACCTGGTTTTCCTGACCCACCTCCTATGGGGTGCTGCCTCCTACCAGAGGGGACCGGGCAACAAACCGTGGATCCACCGAATTAGCACGAATTGCCGAACCGGAGGTTTGCACCCATTTCAAATCCCCATCAACGATTATGAGAGGCACCGTTTCACACATCAAGATGGTACTACTTTAGAACAGGATGGGAAAGGAGGGAAGTTAAAACAACTACATGCAAACGTGTACTTCCCCACCGTAGCTAGTGAAACTTGTTAACTCTGTTAGGATGCCTTTGTCGCCAACTCAACAACAGTTTGATCAATGATCCCGGCTGGGATAACAGGTGATATTTGTGTTGTTTGCATTTCTGTTCCCTTCCTTCCTCATCCCACCCAAGCACGGGTATAGATACTTGGGTAACACATCAGTGGTTGGATGAAGCGTGGCAGCAATCGGCAAAATCTTATCCCAAAGAAAACTTGTTAATCTCGAAGGTGCCAGAAGGCCTGGTTGGTTTTCTACGACAACAAACTAACACATAAAACAAAACAAAAGTGATCACACGGTGGTGATATCCTGTAGCACGCTGCCAAGATACAAAGCTCACCAAATCCTGCCTGTATTCTGTGTCACCAAGCTGCATCCACTAATAGTAACCCCCAACAGAGATCTCGAGGTAAACGAGATATTTATAGAGTGGTTTCACCAAGGGCCACCTTCCCTCCCTCTGAGATTCCATGGCTGAGTGGCGATTCGAACCCAGGTCATCTGAGTTCTAGACTCTGCCTGCCCCTTGCCCCCCCCCCACAACTGCACAGAAGGGCACTCTCTGAATCTGGATGAAGGCCAGATCATTCTCTTATAGTCGTTATTATTAATAAATCAATAATCATATGCCACCAAGTCAGTTCTGACTTATGGTGACCCTTTTTTTCCAGGATTTTCCAGGTAGACAGTACTCAGAGGTGGTTTACCCTTCCCTTCCTCTAGGGGGAGCCCTGGGACTGTGCAGCTGGCCCGGGGCTACATAGGCTTGCTTTACCCACAAGAGGCAAAGAGGGGCTCAAACTCCCAACCTCTGGCTCTGCAACCAGAGATCCAAACCACTGAGCTATCCAGTCAGCTGTCAGGGAAGGCAGGCTTTCCAAACTACAGTCCCTTAAGCCGCCCTTTGAAATGAGAACGGGCTTCAGGAGGCTGATCTAGGAGATGGTCAAAGCGGATTTCCCCAGGACAGGGGCAGGTACCCAAGACCCTGATGGAGAGCAATAAAACCTCCTACCTAAGAGCGAAACCAAGCCAGGTAGCCGATCATCCCTGACAAAGCTCAGTCTGTCGTTAAGGTTTGCCAGCTAAGAGCCAAACTCCAGAGCCAGCCGCTCAGAGAAAAGGAGGAACCGCATCTTGTGCAAACCAGCTGCAGTAAATGACCTGTCATGCCTGCTAGCGGGACCTTTCGCTGGGTTCTGTTTCGTTTTCAGCTTTGTGCGGTTTTGTAAAAAAGGAAAAAGAGGTGGGAAATAAATGTGTTGAGAAACACCTCCGAGGAGGCTGCTTTATTGACGTGCACAACTATTCTAGACACTCACGAGGGACAATTTAAATATTTTTAAATAGACCCCACTTAGGTAAATGAAACCTAGTGAGTGTGCTGTAGTGGTTGAAGTTGCTGACTCTGCTCTGTATTGTAGGACCTCCCCATCCGCAGGATCAGTATCCACTGATTTGCTTATCGACTGCCTGAAAGTGCTAAAAACCCAGAAACATGTATTTACATGTATTTCCAGGATCCGTTTATCAGATCTGGTCACTAGAGGAAGCCAGAGACCATGCAATATATAGCATTAGATACCGTGCTGTAGTGGTTAAAGTTGTTGACTCTGCTCTGTACTGTAGGACCTCCCCATCCACAGGATCAGAATCCACTGATTCGCTTATCGACTGCCTGAAAGTGCTAAAAACCAAGAAACATGTATTTACATGTATTTCCAGGATGCGTTTATCGGAACTGGTCACTAGAGGAAGCCAGAGCCCATGCAATATATAGCATTAGATACTTCTGCATTTTTTGGCACCCACAGGGGTGGGATTTGGAACCAATCTCCCTCGGATACCGCAGTCCTTCTGTAAAGACACCGGTTCAAATCCTTTTTTCCATGATTTTTGTAGAAGAGATTCAGAATTTTGTTACGCCCGTTTATCAGATCTGGTCACTAGAGGAAGCCAGAGACCATGCAATATATAGCATTAGATACTTCTGCATTTTTTGGCACCCACAGGGGTGGGATTTGGAACCAATCTCCCTCGGATACCGCAGTCCTTCTGTAAAGACACCGGTTCAAATCCTTTTTTCCATGATTTTTGTAGAAGAGATTCAGAATTTTGTTACGCAAACATATATACACAAGCAAAACACTTTCTAAAAAAGTCCGGTGCAACCTTGTAATGTATTAAACTCTATTTTATGTCTGTGTTCTTGGAGGGGGAAGTCCCCCATTATGTTCCTGTCTGGACAATGTCAATATCAGGTGATGGTCTGCATGGGCACCTCACAAATCTAATACCGTCTCATGGAAGCTGTTTTGTATCAGGATAAACTATCTATCCACCTGTCCCTGTATTGAACTTGGAACTTTCCTCCACTGGTTGCCAACCTTGGGTAACCCAGGAGTTTTTAGACTACAACTTCGAGAAGCTTGTGCTGGCCAGGATTTCTTGAAGTTGCCGTCCATGAACACCTGAGGACTCAAAGTTGGGAGCTACTGCTCCAGACAAAGCAGGTAGAGCCTATCCTTATTTATATGACCTCAAAAGCAATGTACAATCTCTCCTCTTTACTACTGTATCCTCTCAACAGTCTCATACATACAGAAGAGTTGAAGTGGGTTCAGAAAAATTCTGCACTGACTTTCTGTCTTATGACAATTCGTCCATCGTTGAACAGCTCAGATGTCCCGTCAGCTTCCAACTCATCTTTATACTCTGAATAAAATGAAGGTTTTTCCATAAAACCCCTGTATCACTATAATCATGCATTGCCAGAAATTCATTAAACCTAAACACACACACACAAACACAAAAACCAGCTTGCATGACAAAACTCAACATAGCTGCTCACCCAGTTGGTCTCCTTTGGCGAGTTAGACCAACCTCCAGAAGACCAAGGAAGGGAGTTTTGCAAAAAGTTGTGTTTGCAATTTTAGTAAGCCAAGAACTTGGGAGAATGGCTCGATTAGACCTTAACTCCCAGAATCCCCCAGGTCAGCATGGTCACTGCGAACAACTTTTCCAAACTCAGGTTGAGGCAAACATTACTGACTGAAGTGATACAGCCGGATCTGCCATGAGCACCCAACACCCTCAGGAAATACCAGAATCCTGGCAGCACTCATGGTCAATGTCTCCTTCACGCCTGGCCCCGAATGAGTAGCAGGTACATTTTAATCTCCCAGAATGCCTTCGACACAGGATGGTTCCAGGCCATTGTGGGGAAATTTAAGTGAGTCCAATTCTCATACTCTGTTCTGGGTAATTTGGTAGGAAGCACTTTTAAAGACAAAATGTTCAAACATATAGAAAGGCAAACCTAGCTACAAAAGAATCAACAGGTACACTCCAATTCACACGTCTGCTGATAATCCCAAAGGGCTAGTATCTGTTGGAGTTTTATTTGCAACCTCGCATGCTGCCTATGGTTTGAGTGACTAGGCGGGACTGTTGTGGGCTGGGTTGACTGTCAATCTACCCAACAACAACCAATTGTTTCGTCCCGCCTCTGTATTCAAAGAGAGGCCGATCTCTCTGCTGAGCGTTCCTTTCCCTCTCTGTTGGAAGCAGTGGTTGTTTGTTTGCTGCTGTTCTGAAAGTTACTACTGAAAGTAATAAATCATTTTTTATTCTTCTTCCTATAAATGTCTCAGAGTGAGTTACTGAGACATGAAGTGCCAGTGAATGAGGAAGAGGTGGACTATCTGAGGAACTTAAAGCTATTTGCCTTTGTGATTCTCTGTACTTCTACTGTGTAGCAGCACTGTGTACTAGAAATTCAAAACTCTGCAAGAATATCTACACTACCCAGTCATAGCCGTTTGTGATCAGCCCAACGACCATTGCTCCATCCTACCGAATCCTGAGATTTGTAGTTCAGTGAGGGGCGAAGCACTCTTTGCCAGAGCGCTGTGGTGCTATAGCGGTGCTTTGGGGCTGAACATTTCAAAGTACCTCACCGAACGACACATGCCAGGATCCCTTAGGATGGGGCCCTGACATTTCAATGAAGCATCAATTTGCTACAGATGTGCAGTATCAAAAAACCCATTGGTCTCTTTGGACTTTGAAAAGAATTTTCTGAAACGCCTTCAGCAAAGAAGCACTGATCAAAACCTAACCGCCATGGGGATGTCTTAAAAACTGACAACTGTTTAAGCAATGGGATCTTAAAAGCAATGCTGGCCAGGATTTCGGGGCGTTATCATCCAAGAACGTCTGGGACCCGAGGTTTGGAACCAACTGATTTCAGAGTAACAGGCAAGCAACCAAGAGCCCAGATCTGCTCATCAACCATCCAGAATACACCCAAAAGAAAAGAAAACCAACCTAATTTCACAGAGCGGGCTCTCAAACCTCCAAGTACAGGGTGATACTTTATATATCAGCCTTGATCTGGATCTAATGGCAGTCGTTGGTCTACACATCTGAAAGGCCCAAGGTCATTCTGCCCAAAGCATTATCAGCTTGGCCTATTCTCCTTTTTCTGAATCCCGTCCTCTGGGAAGCCTGCCAAATTTCTCTGGGTGACTACAGTCTACACAGCTTCCTGTCGGCAAGTTCCTAGAGCACAGGCTGATTTAAATCTCGTACAGAAAGAATACTTTCGCAAGCATGGACAAAGCCCTTCGTTAAGATATTGGGGATGGATTATGGACTGCCAACCCCATGCATCGCAAATGAAAATACAGATTTCAAGAGGAATTGCCAACTTGCTCTCGTCTGCTGTTCATGTCCTGACATGTTACTAGTTCCTGAATATAAAAAAGAGACGCTGACCCACGCGGGAGTTTGCCAAAGTCGCTGTGCCTGGAGATGTTTAAAAATCCACAGTATTTGTAGAGGTTTTCAGATCTGAGGGTTTTTTTGTTTTTTTTTTTGGAGGATCTCCCATAATTGTTCAAGCTGCTGAAAAATACATATTTGCACACTTCTTAGATAGGGTTACCTATCCTTTTTCACAACAAAGCTGCTTCATTTATATCCCTTGTGAGATAAGCAGCCGTTTAAAACGTGAAGGGTTTTCCCCCCACAGCATGATTAAATTATGAGATGAGCTTTACCTGTTCTATTTCTGCCTAAAATGCAAGAAAAGCCCAGGGGGAAGAAGCAAGAATACTCTTTGCAGGTATTTCATGAGTCGATGCAGCAAAACTGCCAAGCGATAAGAAACAGGTTACGTCTTCTTTGAAACGCCTCTCATTAGATGGCCAATATGCTCCTCATGGCCTCTGCAACACAGAGATGGTCTGCTTTGCAGGGTTGTTGGAAGGATGACTGAGAGGATAGATCCAGGGCACGTAGCACACTTCAAGTGTTGCCAGGGAAAAAAGCTTAATATTCTTGAGCAAACACTTGATTATCTCATTTGTCTGCAGGTAGTTCTGCCATCCAAGACATAACCCATATGGCTTTCCAGCCCAAAATAAACAACCTGATAGGCCAGTGAGTAAGAATGCAATTAATACCTAGTTTCAGAAAATAATAGGGCTGGAGGTGGAGTACAGGAAGTGGGGGATTACTGTTAGCATTCTTCTCTTGAATCAAAAGACACAAGTTAGGCTGAACCCGGTCACCTCTCTTTTAAGGCTGCTATATGGCACCCACAGTGACCCTCTTCTCCACTACATAAAGGGTCCTTGGCATTAATCCCACAGCAAAACCCATACAGTATATGACCCACGCCCAATCACATATCACCCCAGGGAGGCCAAGAAACACACAGAAACTATTATGCATGTATTATGTGCCATCAAGTCGATTGTAATTTACGGCGATCCTTTGCTGGGTTTTCCAGGTAGAGAATACTCAGAAGTGCATTACCCTTCCCTTCCACTAGGGGCAACCTGGGACTGTGCAGCTTGCCCAAGGCCACCCAGGCTGGCTCTTCTCCCAGGAGACACAGTGGGGGACTTGGAACTCCCAACGTCGGGCTCCACAGCCAGGTCCCGAAACCATTGAGCTATCCAGTCAGCTGTTACTGGAGAAGAAAGTAATTCTTTGCATGCACCCAGAGCAAGAAAAATCCCACCACCAAGAGTGTAAGGCAACCTTTTCCAGCCTGGGAGCATCTCATGTACAATTCCCATCATCCCCAACTATTTGCCTGGGCTGATGGGAACTGGAGTTCAAACCATCTGGAGGAGAGCAGCAAAAAAAAAAAAAATCAGAATAAAGCCTTTTGCATCCATCAGTTGTGTGCAATATA